CCGGAGGACAGGACCAAGTGCCGTCACAACCACAGTCGCATTCGTACATAAAGCAGTTGAGAGTATAGCGGAAATTACTGTTCCCGGGGAATGTTTTGCCGTCGATTGTACAGTCATTACAATTCTGACTTGGCTGTCCTAGGGACGTTTTGGTTGAGTTACCCTTTTTACGGCCGCAGATTTCCTCAGTTTTATCGCCAGGACAGAAGAACTTTCCATCGCAGAAACAATTGCATTGGTATTTGGTGCAGCCGAAAACATATTCAAATGTCTCGTTACCATTTAACGTTCTCTTCCCAATGTGGCATTTTTTACACTTCTCTAACGGAGCGGAACCTTTACAAATATTTACGGCTCTTCCAGCCAGACAGTTCCAAGAACCATCACAATTGCAAGAACACCTGAAACGAAGACAGCCTCTATCAAATGAGAAATACGTGTCACCGGTATAAGTTTTACCCCTTACGACACATTGCTTGCAGACACCGTCTGAAGGTGTATCTTTGCTAATATTGCATACATTTGCCATTAAATGCTTGGGACAGTGCCAGTTCCCTGAGCAACGACAAAGACACTGAAACCGGCGACAACCTTGTTCATAAGTGAACCAAGAATTTCCTGGGTGCCGATTCTTTTTTACTTGACACTCCTGACAAGGCTTCGACGTTGATGTTTCGTAAATGCACACGTTTTCAGGTTGTTGCGATGGACACTTCCATTTGCCATTACAGTCGCAGTGACAGCTAAATTTGAAACACGCTTCTAAAAGATCGAAATCTTCACCTCCTTTGTATAGCTGACCCCTAACTTTACAATTGACGCATTGCCTGTCTGCAAATGGTATTCGTCCTTCCAGCCCGCGACAGATATCGACAGCCTCTTCTGTCGGGCATTCCCAGCTACCATCACAGCTGCATTTACAACGATACCTGTAGCAGCCGTTATTCTGAAAGAAGACAGTGTTTCCTTTAAAAACCTGATGCTTGACTTTACATCTTTTGCATTTTGTGTTGTTTGTTGGTTCCACCGTCACGGTTGCCGGGGTGGAGCATTCGTCTTGCGCACTTTCAGATGGGCAATGCCATCTTCCGTCGCAAGAACAAGTGCACTGGTAAGAAAAGCAACCCTGCTGTAGAACGAACTTCGTGTTTCCCTTGTAGAACCTTCCGTTAACCTTACATACTTGACACTTTCGCGTCCTTTTCTCATCTAATATTCCTGCCGCACATATGTCAACTGCTTTGTCTTCGGGGCAGGTGGCTTTGCCATTGCAGTTGCATTTACAGTAATAACTGTAGCAGCCATACTGGTAAGTAAAATCCGTATTTCCCTGGTAGGATTTACCTTGTACCATGCATCTAGTGCATTCATTGATAGTGGTCACATTACATATATTAATTGCACCTTTCTCCATACAGTCGTAATTACCATCGCAATTGCACCTACAAAGGACTTTCCTGCAATTGTCTATGCGGTAAAAATTCGAACTGGCAGCGTAGGAACTGTCTCCAACCTGACATTTTTTGCATGGCGTTCCTGGTTTATCTGTGTTGCAGACATCGAAAGCCGTTTCTGGGGCACAGGCCCAGGTACCGTTACAATGACACTTGCATTGATATCGGAAGCAATTCTCATCTCTCTGGAACTTCGTGTTTCCCGGATACATGTTCCCATCGACTTGACAGTTAAAACAGCTGGTATCTGTTAAAGATCGGTTGGATGTGTGACAACTATCCACGGCGGTTTCCGGGGGACAGTCCCAAGATCCATCACATTTGCATAAGCACTGATACCGGAAGCAGTTTTCGTCATGCGTAAACGTCGAGTTGCCTGGATGTAAAACACCTCTAATGTTGCACTGCTTACACCCAACAGCGCGTGAATTGCATACGTCGATCGCCTTGTCAGCTGGACAATGCCAGTTACCATCACATTTACATGTACATTCGTATTTGTAGCATTCAGAAGTTTGCATAAAGGTTGAATTTCCTGGGATATTTCTTCCGTCTACGGTACACTCGTTACAATCAGCCAGTGTCCTATCACAGATATTCACTGCTGAATGAGCCGGACACTCCCAACTGCCATCACATTTGCAGCGGCAGCTGTAACGGTAGCATCCTTCCTCTAACATGAAATCGGAATTTCCTGCAAAGTATCGACCTTTGGCTACGCAATAGCGACAAGCAGGTGCAGGTGTGGTGCGATCGCAAATATAAACAGCTGTGCTGGCCGGACATTTCCAGCTACCATTGCAGTGACAGGTACACTGATATCTGAAACAGTTTTCTTCGTGCGTGAAATAGCTGTTGCCCGGGAACGTCTTGTCGTGCACGATGCAGCTTTTGCACCTGGTCGGTGCCGGTGTCACGCAGGTGTTAATACTGTGTTCGGGTGGACAGTTCCATTGTCCGTTGCATTCACAGATGCACTGGTATTTTAAGCAGCCTTCCTGAAGCTCGAAACGAGTGTTACCCTTTTCTCGCTGACCCCTCACGTCGCAGTAGCGGCACCCAGTTTCCGGGTCTGTGTTGCATGTGTCCACAGCTGTCTCACCCGGGCAATTCCAACTTCCGTCGCAGTTGCACGTGCACTGGTACTTAAAGCATCCTTCTTGCAGTGTGAACCTTGTGTTTGGCTCGTGCACAAATCCACGTGCGTTGCACTGATAACACTGGGGCACTGTCTGGCACGTGTAAACGGCAGTTTCTTTCGGACAGTTCCAACTTCCATCACAATTGCATATGCACTTGTAATTCCAGCAAGCGTCCTGAAGTTCGAATCTTGAGTGACCTTTCTTCTTGTCTCCCCGGACATCACAATACTGACATCCGGTCTCCGGATCAGTGTTACATGTATCCACGGCTTTGTCTCCTGGACAGTTCCAGCCACCATCACACTTGCAGAAGCATTTATATTTTATACAATCCTTTTGCAATTCAAAATGTGTATTCGGCTCAGCGATCACACCCTTAGCATTGCATCGGATACACTGAGATCTTTGGCTTGTGTAAGAAGTAATGTTGCATATATTTTCTGGGTCGTCGGCCGGGCAATTCCAGTTTCCATCGCAATTGCATTTACAGCGATACCTCAGACACCCTTGCTGCAACGTGAAATCCGTGTTTGGCTCAAAGAGCTGACCTCGCACGCTGCACTTTTGGCAAACTGGTTCCTGGACGCATACATTCACAGTTTCATTAATCGGGCAACTGTGACTGCCATCGCAATTACACTTGCAAGTCCTTTGTGTGCAACTGTCGACTTTATATGTAAACGTTGTATTTCCTCGGTAGCTTCGACCGTCGACGATACAAGAATTACAGCGGGCAGGTTCTGTCTCACATGTATTCACCGTTAGATTATCAGGGCAGGTCCAACTGCCATCACAGTAACAGGTGCATAAGTATTCATAACAGCCCTCAATGTACTTAAATGTTGTATTTCCTTTATGATATTGTGTGTACACATTGCAACTTTTGCATTTTTGTCGGTCACGTTCTCTACCCCCGGTTATAAATTCAGATTGCACACTTGTCTTCGAGTTGTAGTCACTACCGTTAGTCGTAGCATTGACCACTCGAACATGGGCTACTTTTTTAGCTTCCGCGTGCAGGGAAGGGCCTCTGGGGTGCAAAGATGCGGCTTCTTGCAGCGTAATATTCCCCTTGAAGTTACTCTCTGCTCCGTTCTTTATTGATTCGTGTTTGACAGACACAGACAAGCTTGCTGGTCCGGTTAAACTGTGGCCACGCCATCGCTCTGCAGGTGTCGTGCTGGCCAGCGTTGGGGGTACAGTTGACTGATAGCGTCTCCGTGTAATTCCGGGTGGCAAGAAGCGATCTGTAAAGATAAGTGTGGGCATCGTTCCTGATAAAGTAATGGGTGTGGGTGGTGTCGGAGTCATGTCTCTAGTATGTCCCCCGATAGGGATATTTTTCGCGCACGGCAGTAAGGTCTTTCTCTCCTCGAAACACTCAAAGGTTCCATTGCAATAACACGTACAATCAATTGTAATGCAATCGTCAGTGCGTTTGAAGTGCGAATGGCCCTTCTGTAAAATTCCGTCAACCACGCAGTCTATACAACCGTGACAACGAGATACGGCTTCTTGCACAGGACAATGATAGGTACCATCACAATTGCATGTGCAGTGGCGTTCTATACAGCCTTCCATGTAATGAAAGCGAGACAGACTTCGGTAGGTATTACCCTTCACCGTGCAGTGGAGACAACCTGGAACATAAGCAGTTTTAGACAAGTGAAGAGATGTTTTTTTTATAGAAAGTGAACATTTAAGCCATAACGATTGCAGTGTAATATGACAGCAGATGTTGTTGCAAGCACTGGCCAAGAAATAAGCAGCAGTAGATAAAAGAAAAACGAAATTTTAATTGCTGAAAACAATGTCTAAAAATGCGTCAATTGACTAAGTCTAACAAATTTATATTCAAAACGTATGAACATTCATTCAAATGATGTGTGGACCTTTTGTTTAAAAAACAAGTCCTTTTATTCGCATTCATAATTACCTTTAGCCAAACAATAAGGACATTAAGAATATGTTTCTTAAAAATTGTTTGTATATTTTCTTAATGTTAGGAAATAGTTTTGTTGAATTTGTAGGCATAAAGCTATGAAAACAGAGATAATCTCTCTGTGAAATGGTTCATATAGGTCAATGAATTGTTGATTAAAGATCCAAGAAAATTTTAATTCATCCAAAACGTCATAAAATTTACTGAGGTCATGTGCTTGAGAATTTCAATCCAGATATAAACGGATTGAACATAATGATTATGATTGGTTGATTGGTTCGTTTTTTACGACTTATCAACCCTTTGCAGCTTATTTAAAGCTAGAGGGACAAGAGGTGGATTCATACCTTTCCCAAGGGTATTTGCGAATAAATGAATATAACGAACCAAACTGGGATAGAAACTCGGCTCTCCGATTAACAATTATGAGCCATTATCCATTACACCACCCGCACATTCAAGCTTACAACACCTGGAATACCCATGCGGTCACCCATCTAGGTACTAACCAGGCTCGACGTTGCTTAACTTCGGTGATCGTACAGACTGGTGTTTCAACATGATGGAGCCAAAAGCCAGCGGATTGAGCAGAGTTTCGTAGAAATGTTTTTATTTAATGAATTTTTTGTTTGCTTTTGTTATACGGCATTAAATACATTTTCTCGCCATTTTTATTTGATATTTAACAGCTGTATATAAAAATCTTAAATAATGGTACTTATAAATCTGAATAAAATGGACTTACGTTTTGAATAAAATTATATTGTTTTGGAGTAAAATGTTCAGATAGAAGTATTTAAAAGTTGAATATGAATGACATAGGTTACCACAGAATATTGAATTACTCAGATTTCATATTTATCACTATCATTTATCAATTTTAAACCTGACTTTGAATAAGTAATTCAGTAAAAATATCTTTTATTTTCTTGTATAATTTACCTATAATTAGACTTAATTCTATGAAACTGTAACGCTTGCATTAAAACTAGGATTTTAAAGAGAAGATACTCCCAGGACAAATGATTGTGTAACTTTAATGTCCGTTCTTAAAGATTAAATTTGTTGACTTAGTAAGAAAAGAAAAAAATTGTTTACTGAGTTTGGAATAATTGAAACAAGGCCACAATTACAGGAGACCCACTGAAGATCCAATTCCCTAAACTTTATGCTATGAAACCTATTGGTTATTGTCGTTAATCTCTTAATACGTTCAGTTTATAAATTAAAGTTTATAAATATAGACTATATATTAGGAGGTCCTACGTAGACGAGAGGTCAAGGTACGTTAAATCTAATGTCAGTTTCCCTTAGGGGACGCAGATTCAAATCCTTCCAGAGGACGCATATTTTTCTAACAAGATTTCTCGAATATTCAGGTGGAAATGAATAAAATATACTGTTTAATAAAATATACTGTTTAATAAATAAATAAAAAACAGATCATCTACCCAAATATGAGTATCCATTATATATATATATATATATATATATATATATATATATATATATATATATATATATATTCAGATAGAGTGCATCTGTAAGGGAGCAAAATGAATAAGAATAGGACGAAAAACTACTTTTAGCCGACGCGTTTCGTCCTCTGAGGCACTTTATCAATGCAATGTAGGATTCATTTTGTTGCACGTGTTTATATACAGAAGCGAGGATGTCATTGGTTTATCAAGGCTTTTATATTTGAGAACGTCCATGAATGTTCATCAGGTGATTGAAAGGGCCAGTCAAAATAAGTGAAGGACACAAAGTGACAGAATTCAAAGTCTAGCAAAAAGTAAGCGAGTGATATTCAAGAAACTTTTTTCAACTTTTGTATATAAACATGCACAACAAAATAAACCCTATATTGCTTTGATAATGTTCCTCAGAGGACGAAACGCGTCGGCTAAGAATAGTTTTTACTCTTGTCTCTCTCTCTCTCTTTATATATATATATATATATTGATAGTAAATATCCACGTATGCGCTTTATATAAATATATATACGATCCGAGTTGTCCTTCTCCTAGACCCAAGGCTATAGAACCCAGTCTGTCCTACTAGTTACCCATAGCTGGAAGGAGAAGAAGAGAATTCACACCTTTCCCAAGGGTATTAGCATGTAAGTGAATGTAATGGATTCGAATGGAATTCGAACTCAGCTCTCCGATCCAATCCGCTATCCGTTACTCCACAGTGCCTCCTCATATATATATATATATATATATATATATATATATATATATATATATATATATATATATATATATATCAAGTAAAGGTAACAAATCCGTTGGATCCTAGTAAACATAAAATTCTAAACTGATCCACAAAAAGAGCTCAGTATATTTATTATTACAGATAAATATATTTAATAAACAATAAAATTCAAAATCATCTCATATGGGGAATAGACGAAGATATTTTCGTTTGCTGAAATAGGCAATTCCCTAGATGAGGTGAATTTGGATTTTATTGTTTATTAAATTTATATATATATATTTAGTTGTATGGATATAAATTTGTAACTATATAATGTTTTAAAGTGATTATATATATATATATATATATATATATATATATATATATATATATACCCAAGTATATAATTGGTGTATACGGAATGAATTCCAATAACCAACAATTACTGTTCTTAAATATCAACATCATCACTTGATAAGACACCGGCGGTGTTGAAACAAAATGGCTATTTTTGTAGTGATTTTATAACATATTTATGTTATAATTTTTAAAAATAAATAATATATATATATATATATATATATATATATATATATAAACAAGTTTATTTTTTAATGTATTTTTAAATTTTCGTATAAGGTGTTGAATACTGCGCTCGAACTTGTGGATAAAATGGTTGCAGTTTATATACAATTTCGAGCACATTACTCATCACCGTTACCGAAAATTGAAAAATACAATAAAAAATTAAACAATGAAACTTGTTTGAATGAATACTTGCTGCCTAAATATATATATATATATATATATATATATATATATATATATATATATATATATATATAATCTTATTTTTCGTAAATACACATATTTGAGCAACCGCTCCGTTTATTCAGCATTCTTTATAAATATCTGAATCACTAAATTTAAATATATCCAGTCAAAAGGCGGAATTTTCATTAAAAAAGCTATTTTTAAAAATCAGTTAAAATTGGCCATGTGAAAATAACACTGAAACTAGGAAAGCCGGTTTGAATAATGTTTTATACTGTTTTTACAAATAAATAATGCATTTTAGGATTTAATGATGTTTTTTAATTTGTTTTGAATTGTTAAAATTAACTAGGAGACTACAGTGTTCTGGAAAAGACTTGGCATTTTTTTAAGCATTTCGTCCCCAGGACCAGTATTTTGCATTGATTTGTAAACGTACATCGACAACTGGCAAAAGCAACGTACAGACATAGAAGTAGCTCTAGTGCAGCAGAAGGGTTAAATACTTTTTCATAGATTAATTTTAGTGGCTTGACACGATTCTTCAAAGATTTATTATTCAAGCAGATTTCTTCGTTTATAATTAAGATTTGTTCACTCTTTTTATACCTAAGCAAAGCGTTACAGACACTATCCGAAGATTTAAGTCGCTGATAGACTTAGGTTATTTCCCTTGTGAAAAAAAAAAAGGCCAAAATCTTTCTAATATATTTGAACACGTTTGTTTCATCGTTTCATTTTGTCTAATGTCTCGTTCCACTGGAATTATTACTTCTGAAAATATATACTGTGAAATCGATGCTATAAATACAAATAAAAATGGTTTTAGATAATAAAAGGAATAAAAAAATAATATGTCTAAAGAAAATACTACAAAGGTACACAAAAACAAAAAGCAAGGTATCGACATCAATAATAATACAAATGAAAGAAACTGTGCATTTGTGCTGAGAAATAGTAAATTTATATGTGTGTGTGTGTGCGCGTGTGTGTGTGTGCGCGTGTATGTGTGTGTGTGTGTGCGCGTGTATGTGTGTGTGTGTGTGCGTATGTGTGTATTTAAATTCATAGTTTCCCACCTGTTCGTTGTATTCTGTGGGCTGTTCTGACTTGTCCATTGCATATATTTTGGGATTTATGAGCAGGGCAGTTCCAGGAACCGTCACTTCTGCAGTCGCAATTGTATCTAATGCAGCCCTCTGTGAAAGTGAATGGCCGGCCAACTGGGTAGCGAATATTTTTCACCAAGCAAAACCAAACGCTTTGTTGTCGAGATGAGAGTCCACGCATAGAAGAAGCTAGAAAATTTTAGATGCAAGTAAAAATTAGTATAATTGTCTTTTCAACGAATTAGTACTGAAATTCTACAGATTTTTCAAAATTATATTTCTTATTGTGGAATGAATGGTGTTATGTAAATAATAGGAACAGGAAATAAAAAGAGGCTTTTGGACAATTTCATGCACTTCTAGATGGTGATTAGAAAAGAAAAAGATAATCTCTTTTAAGAAAAGGTTTACATTGAAACTATTTAAAACGATGTAACGTTACACAATTTAATTATCTGCCCTTGACTCAGCTATAATTTATGCACAGTTCAAAGGGTGATAACATGCGTCATGTGACAGTCTGCCGAGAGTGTAAGTCATCTCACAAGTTGTAGGCAGCTTCTTGGAATAACAGCTCGGTATTGCTCTCACCTTTTCAAGGCCCAGCCACATCGATGACGCAATGTACGACCAAGTCACTTCTAAAGTAAAACCCTAATTCATTTCTCATTTTCATATCTGATAATATGCATCTGGTTTTCTGCCCGAACAAAATATTGTCGGGTTCAATTTCTGTAAAATGGTTTTCTCTCAAAAATATGTACCTATCCTTGCCAGTTTTCATCCATAAACAAATTCTTACCATATCGCTGGTATAGTAATACTTATGTTGGGTTAGTGAGGTAAATTGATCCCCATCAACCATTCCACTAATATAAACACACATGATGCACAATTTTGCAGGGAAAGTTTCTTACACTGTTTTACCGATGTTCAATGTATTTACATTTAATCATACGCTTAACCTCTTCATATACCAATGATCTACCAGTTTTTTTTCTGGTGTTGATTTCCCGAAGCGTGTTCTAAAATGTTTTTGTATAACAGTATCAGAATTTGTTTATCTTAATTCAACACACATAAAGCTCTCTTAACATCTTCTACAGATATCTTACTTAACTGCTTGTTGAATGTCCAATAACTGGAAAACCTTTCACTGCCTAAAACGCACAACGAATATATCTTAATGCTGAAATAAACTTCTTCTGTATCTGTCTATATTTTTGAGATTGGGTATAATGTACACTATTTACATGAATCGGACTATTATCCTCATCTTTGTCGTTATATTTATTACAACGGCCGAAACGTTGTAATAAACATGGCGACAAAGATGAGGACCATAGTCCGAATAATGTAAATAGTGTACTTCTGTACATTGTGACAATATCTTAAATACTTTTGGTCAAATAAATTTTTGACGTATTTTTTGTAATGATGTAAATTAATTTTTGTAATGTGACAAATTAACGA